ACACACTTTTTTGGTTCTTTCGTAAAATCCTACCCCCAGATGACATCACAGGACAGTTCATCATTTTAGAGGGTGGTATGACTGGGTTGCGGCGTCCGTGGCTAAGGCGTTGCGAGTCCGACTCGTAATCCAGCGTACCGCGATCGAAACCTGCGTGGGCTGCGTGGATTTTTATCGTGGTATGGGACGTCGCAGGTCGACCCAGCCTCAAATGGGTACCAGGATGGGCTGTCCTGGGAAAGTAAAGACAGCCGGCGTAATGCTGACCACATTACCCACCGAGTGCTGATGGTCTGTAAAAATATGGGCGCTCTTCCCATATGCCCGATACGCCTAAAGGCGTGGAAAGGGATCTTTACTTTTCTTTACTTTTATGACTGGGTTTCCCGGCTTTCTGATGCTTTTAACGACCCCAAAACATCTAGAACTGGCCCTAAACCCAACCTACCTACGTCCCACGAAAGTGTGCAGCCTAGGTCCCACGACTGCATGTAGCCTATCTACCACCCCCAGAAATATTAGACTCTTCCGTGACCTGTAAATTTCCCTAATTTGGGGTAGAATATTAAAAATGCTCTTTTTTTCCAAAGGGTTAAGAACTGGTCACTCAGGCCCGTCTAACATTCTGCCCTTCTACTTTCCCTCCTTTTCTACATAATTTCATCATTCCGGTGCACTGAGCTAGTTGATTCTATCTCACTTTTTCAAAGGTAAAACAAATCGCTAATCCTTTTTAGGTCAGTAAAGCATGCAATGAGCGAAATCCGTGGCTAAGGCGTTGGGAGTCCTACTCGTAATCCAATGTACCGCGATCGAAACCCGCTGCGGGCTGCGTGGAATTTTATCGTGGTATGGAACGTCGCAGGTCGACTCAGCCTCAAATGGGTACCAGGATGGCTTTCCTGGGGAAGTAAAGAGGGCCGGCGTAATGCTGACGACATTACGCACCGAGTGCAGACTGGTCTGTAAAAAAATATGAGACGATCTGCCCATATGCCCGTGAAAAGGGATCTTTACTTTTTTTTTATAGCATGCAATGGGAGTTGCCGTGATGTAGCGGACAGACGCTCCTCTGTAGACCAGAAGATGGCCGGGTCAGGTCCTGAAAGAGCTATACTTTTCTTTCAGAACTGTCCTGGGCTCTCAGGTCGATTCGGCCTTAAATGGATACCAGGTAGATTCCTAAAAAGAAAGGACGGCTAGCGTAATATTTACTATATTGCCCAGCGAGTACCGATATTCGTCTATCAAAAAGAAGAAATTCCACAGGGAAGCATGTACAGCAGTAATTTACCAATCATCAGTAGAAGTGATCCCTAGTCAACAAATGTTTCGGCCCACAAGCTCCTAGACATTTTCGGAGGGTGGGCCCACCTGAGTTCATGAAGGTCGGGGTTGATTTTCTCCTGCTGCACGTATTACCGGATGTTCTCCGACAGGGACAAGACGAAATTAGTGACTGTGTAAAAGGTACCGTGAGATTCGAAGTTTATTTACATAGTTCCTGCGGTAGCATAATTAGGGCAGTCAGCATACCTGGGCGACTAAGTGGCAAGCTCACGGTTGGTTTATCGGACACATGTTAGACTTTGTTGGCAAATAGCAGAGGGACACCGGCATACAATTCGGACACGATGGACTTTAAGGGATAAGACATTCTTTTCCACTAGATACCCGGACCAGCTAACCGAGCCCGTCACCCACGACGTTCCATTGTGCCCAAAGCCAGCTCGAGGCCCTTTTAGCAGCCTCGCCAAGTTGTTTAAGTGATCGTTTGCGCACATTTCCTCGCAAGCCTAGTTGTTTTATCACATTGTACATAGAAGTGGAAACAAGACCTCTTGCGCCTACCTCGATCAGGATGAACTGATGTTTCTCCGCCGAGTGTATTACTACGTCGGGTGGCAGGCCGGTCTTCCGGATTAACTCTGGGTACTTTTCTTGACCGAGAGTCGCCGTGGCCGAGCGGCTAGACGCTCGCCGCGGATCGGAAGGTCGTGGGTTCGCTCCCTAGCGTTGCCGGACTTATATCAAAAATGACCTTGGCTCCCAGGTCGACCCAGCCTTGAGTGGGTACCGGGTGCAGTCCCGGGAAAGTAAAGGCGGCCGGCGTGATACTGACCACATCACCCATCTTGTGCCGATTGGTCTATAAAAATATGGGTCTAGCCCTATATGCCCTATACGCCTAAAGGCGTGGAAAAGGGTCCTTTACTTTTTTTTTTTTTTTACTTATGCTGACTGTGTGCTTCGAATCGGTGTCATTTTATTTCGTATACGGCAAATAATACTTTTCTTGACCAGTATATAAATATAGGTCTGACCCTACATGCCTGGTACACATAAAGACGTGGACAAGAGTCCTTTAGGTGACTAAAGCATGTAATGTCACAATCACTTAATTATACAGCAGTCAATATTCTGTGAGGGATGTGGTCAACGTCTTGACTTCCCAGGATGTTACCTTCTACTCATTTGAGAGCAAGTCGACCTGACAGTACTGGGTAATTTTTAAAAAAAAAGGGAAGCAAATCTTCAGCATACGTATTTGAATTTGTGACCCTCAGACCATCAGGCCAGTGTCGAGTCACTCTACTGCAGCAGCTCCCAATATTTTGAAGGCTACATTGTGACGTGTCTATCAAAATCATTGCCTCTAAGTAGATCTTAATGTAAAACTAAGTAAAGCACCCATTTCCACGCTTTTCGGGGTATGGGCATATAGGGCTAGACACATTTTAAAGACAAATCGGCAGTAGGTGGGAAATATGGTCAACATCATACCAGCTGACTTTTCTTTCTGGGATTTTACCAGGCACCCATTTAGGGCTGAGTCGACTTAGGAGCCAAGATTTTTTTTTAAAAAGAATCTGGTGTCGTCAGTACCTAAACCAACGACCTTCTGATTCTCAGTCGAGCGTCTAGCTGCTACACCAAAGCGGTCTACTCTGAGGCCCTTAAATGGCTTGAATTTACCAGACTAAGGAGTGTGTATGTGTGTAGTCATTACTCTCGGCTGAGTAAACATCGTCTTACTTTATTCACAATACAGTATATCACTGGGATGTACAGAACCGGTAGTAGAATATCGCATTCGCGCGTAGACATACACGTTTGTAACTTGAGTGTGATTCAGAAAGGTTGCCAACCTGCGAACATTAATTATTTCTTCCTCACCTGCAGTTTTAGGTATTTATTTATTAACAGTCTTAACCCAGTAGAGACATGCAATTTTATAACCAAGGCTTAATTTAGAAAGGCTGTGAATGAGTCTCCATTAATTTGTTCTACACCATATGCTTTGAATATTTCATTATTAAAACTGTTAATACAATAAGCAAAACACTCACATACGCGCAGCACACACATACACAAGTAACTGATCATTTGTACCCTCGTAGAGCATCGGGCTAATTGTCCACGAGATATATTTATGTATTCGTTGTCATTGTCAAAAGTCATTGCTAACCCACTTATTTTGGAAATTTTTTTAATGTGAACATATATAATGATTACACAAAGAAAGTTTTTAGTAAAAATGGGTTCAATATCTTTCCATGACTGCAGTCCATGCACGTGAAGCATGAAAAACAACTGGAAGACCACACTGATCATATGTTTGTAACCAAAAAATTAAAAAAAACAGGGAGCTCTTAATTATCTCGTTTTGGAACCAAGTTTCGTATTTTCGTTTCGAATGTTATATCAGTTGTAATATATGCCTGTGAATGTTTGAGAGAATCACAGCACTCGGGCATTCGCATGGATGCCCCGTCACCGTTTTTAGCAGCCAGTGCAGAGTTCAAATTCCGATTACACTAGTAACTATCTTATTTTATATCTGACTCACCTTTCCATTGAGTGTTAATCGTCAGCCAGATCCCCAGGTAACAACACATCACAGAGACACTAACCTTAAACCTTCATGATCTATTATTGCTTCCGTACTGCTCATTCATCTCCAAAGGACCAATGGGGCTGCTTGGTCTGCAGGCATGATGTCCGCCTCGAGTGCTAGAGGTTCCGGGTTAAATCCCCGGTAAGTGCTGGGATTTTCTCACATGGACTTGGACTTCTAGTAATTCCCCCTTGTTTCTGGGTAGTGTTTGTTTGTTTGTTTTAGTATCCAGAAGACATGAGTTGTTAACCCTTAGGCTCGGTATTATGAATATCGCAACCTTTCGGCCTTGATTCCATTGTAAATACCGTAAATCTGGAAGAAAATATGGCTTTCCTTCCTACCCCCGGGATTGAACCTGGACCATAAGGAGTTCGTCACCCGGTTTAGCCAACTACGCTAGAGAGCCGGGCATTTCTGGGTAGCGAGATTGGACGTCCTTGTGCACTTTTGCGCACGTAAAAAAATTACTTGGCAGTTGGAAATCGAAAAGAGTAGCCTAAGGGCGCTGCACGGGCAAAATTTAGAGTTAATAATCTACCGGAAGTTGCTCAGGATCCTCGCCGGTGCTACAGAGCCTGTGCACTGTGATGAGCTTCTTCGGATTCAGACTCGAGTTAGAAGAAGAACGGAGCACTTATATGTTACTACAAGTGTGTCATGATGTTGATTCGTTGTTCAAACCACGGCCATCTTTTGCTAGAGTTGGCGTTGTTCAAACCTCCAAGGACCATTTTTTACAACCCCGCCGAAAAGATAACGGCAACAAGCACGCCGCCCTATCCATTGTCACAGTTTGTGGGTGTGGCGATGCCACCTGGTTAAAGTTACCTGGCGGTCCCTGACAAATACCTGTGACCTTGCCGCTAAGTCGACCCAGCCTTGAGTGGGTACCATGTGCAGTCCTGGAAAATAAACGCAGCCGGTGTGATCCTGATAACATCACCCACCTAGTGCCGATTGGTCTAGCCTTATATGCCCGGTTCGGCGTGGAAGAGGGTTCTTACCTTTACTTTACTTAACTTATGACAATTGAGAAATACAATACGCAGCTTACAGCTTTAAATAAAATAGGTGTCGAAGAATGTCATACTTTACCAACCAGCGATATAAACACACGCGGCCCCCAGAATTGTCTTGATTCGCCCGAAGTAGGAATCAGCGATGAACCCTCCTATGATAGGTATAATGTAAGCCACACCTGGTAAAGAAGGAAAAAAGAGAATGTATTTAAAAAGAAAACATATTAATTAAATGCAGTGCCAATTATAAAACATTTCTTTTTTTTAAAGACAGTTCAGACACCTAACATGCAGTGGTATTGATCTGAAGCCAGACCCACCGACTCCCCCAAAACGATATTACATGGCGAGAAAAAAAAAGCCCTTTTATGAGTCTTAAGGCGTACTGCGCATATAGGTATAGATCTATATTTTATTGAACAATCGGTACTTGGTGTATGATATCGTCAACATAACGCCGGCGGTGTTTACTTCTAGGACCGCACCTGATACCCACTCAAGGCTGGGTCGACCTAGCGGCAAGGTTATTTTGAAAAAAAAAAAAAGTCTAGGACCCGAACCTACGACCTTCCGATCTGAAGGCGAGCTTCTTATCGCTACACCACAAGGACGCCTACTTTCCCACTATGAATTTAAATAATGTGGTTACGAGCAACATGTTGCATATTTTTTTGCCTGAAGTAGTTTTCTGCATAGCGCATGAATGCGTCACTGACATCAATATATATGGAAGCGCTAAACGTGAATCCTTACTCTCATGACCTCTGTGGTTTTTTTTTAACATTGATCTTCATGTTATGTATTGAAAAACAAAGGTGATGAGAAAAATGAGAGAGCAACAAACCATCGACACAAAGATCAAAGGTCTTGGGTTCGAGGCCGCGTATGGGCAGATTGTTTTTTAACTGATAGTGTATCTGAGTCGACCCAGGCTTAATGGGTACAAGGTAATTCACGGAAGCAAAGGCAGCCGTCGTGATGTTTACCACATGATCCACCAAGTGCTGATTAGTCTACACACACACACACACTCACACACACACACACTCACACACACTCACACACACACACTCACACACACACACTCACACACACTCACACACACACACACACACACTCACAGACTCACAGACACACACTCACACACACACACACTCACAAACACACACTCTCACACACACACACTCACACACACTCACAGACACACACACACTCACACACACACTCCCACACACACACTCACACACACACACACACACTCACACACACACACACACTCACACACACACACTCCCACACACACACTCTCTCTCTCACACACACACACATACACACGTCTAGCCTGACATATCCGATCTGCCATTGTAAACAGGCGTGTTACTTTACTTTTACTGACATCTGTGCAAGAATGTTAAATGTCGAATTAAAAATTAACATTACAGCACTCGGGACATTCGTTCCCATCTTCAGAAGCAAACGAAGAGTTCCAATTCCAATGGCACAAGTAAATATCGGAATGTAAATCCGTTTCTCTTTTTCCCCCGAGTGTGGAGAATCGATTAAATCCGCTGGTAACTCCTCGCAGCGCTATTCTCCACAGACCGCAATGTTCTATTTGTTCCTTCACACTGTTCACTCACTCATAAAGGGCCCTCGCAACATGTAGCTTGTCATACATCAATTCATAACCACGTGGCGCCGAACCGGCCAATTCGTCTGTCTACTCGTTTCCAATTACACCGGCATTACCTGGAGAACATATCCAAAGGTCGCTAACTACCCGTGACCTCTGAAGCGATACATGCCAGTCTGCACGGATCATACCTGTCTCCACCTAATTCATCACGCTCTGTGAGTCAGTTACAATTACGACGTATGTAGCTGATTCTCAATCCAGCGTAAGGCAGTAGTGACTGCTTTCACCTCCATTCTCAGTCTAGACGTTGTGATATCATATGTCAAGTTAACTGTGCAAGTCCAACCAAACAACCCAACAAAAGCAAATGTCAGCTCACGAACCTGCAAACACTTGATTGACTGTGGTAGCGTCAGTCTGACCAATCTTGAGAGTGCTAGTACAGTACAACACCAGACCAGCCATGATGCTGTAGTAAGTCAGTCGCTCGCACATCTCTGTCACCAGGATACATAGTGTCACCAGCAAAATCTTCTTGTTGCTGCAGAAGAAATACGTTGGATTCTGTGTTCATGTCTTTGTTATCCATTTAATTCTAAATATATATTTCTCCCGTGTGGGTTCTGGGACCCCACTAGCGAAAGGGGAGGTGGTGGGGAGAGGGTGTGGAGAATAGACTCACCACCCCTTTAAAAAGCATTTAGTAAAAGTCGAGTAATTAAGGGGGTTTCTTTCGAAGTTAGAGTACATCTGCTTGAGAGGCGATGAACCAACAGTCTGCATACAAAAAGCCAGATCTATAAAGCTGTTATGAACACAAAACTCAAGTTCTGGAATAAGACTAAGGTCAGGAAGTTGACGGACAACAAGGATTTTCACACTTCAAAAGCGGTAAGGGTGACGAAAAAAAAAAGAGTTTTCACTATGCAACTGTCTATATATATATATATATATATATATATATATATATATATATATATATATATATATATATATATATATATATATATATATATACACATATATATGTAGTGCTACTTATCCTCATGATCATCTAGGATGCGAATAAAGCGTTATGGCATGGTTCAACATCTCGCACAATCCCCACCATCAACTATAAATTTAATATTTGTGTCCCAACTAAGCCAAGTGACCAAACCATCTATGACTGTATCTATTGTCTTTTCTTTGCTTTCTTCCCACTAAATTTGCTATTTATGTCTGTGTGTGTGTGTGTCACACTTGATTTAAGACCATTGATCATACTTGTTATTACTTATTCACTCTTACTAAAAATATAACATGCAACTATGTACTATTTAAACTGAAGTAAAGTAGGTCAACAGACTCCCTAGTCCACTACATATCAAATTGAACGGCACTTGCCTGAAGCAAGTTAAATAATTCAAATATTTTAGAAGTAAATTCTATGAGGACGGGAGAAAAGATAGTGAAATAGAGACAAGATGCCAACGAGCCAGTACATTTATATACCAGTAACACCGTTTTTAAGACATCCAAACATAAGTATGAGTATAAGCACAAAGAAAAAGATGATGAACACCATATTCATGTCAACACTGCTACCAGTGCCAGACTTGGACATTTTCAAAGGGTATCCTGTGTAAAATTAACACATATAAAATGAGATGTCTGAAAAAAGCCGCGCAATTAACCATCCCAGAGAAAGTTAGAAATGAAATTATAAGACAGACATTAGGAATAAAACCATGAACGAAATTAATTTAGAAACAGAATATAAACTGTTTTGGCCATCTAGTAAAAATGCAGCCAGAGCCAGAACAAATACACACTCGGGCGCTACACATAAAACGATCTGACGTGAAAACAAGCAGTGAAACTAGGAGAAGATGGAGTGATGAGACTAAACAGCTTCTACATCGACACGGAATGACAATAACCAAGTTTGCTTGATATGGATATTTATAAATCAGTTGAACTTCTTGATTTCTTCCGTGCCCGTTTCTATTCGGAACACATTCTACAAGAGGCACTGAACAAAGTTTTAACAATCACCAGAAGAGATGCTTTCCCCTCCTAACGTAATTTCACCAGCGATGGACCCAAATTTATTTTGACTTTTCACCCTAACAATGTGGTTGCTTCCAAAGTATTTTTTCGCCATGTGGACATCCCCCGCTCTGATCCAGACACCAAGATGATCCTTAGTGAGAAGCCGAGATTAGTTTAGAGACCGCAACCTTAAAGACTACTTGTCAGAAGCCGACTCCCACCGATCCACACAGCACTTCCTTTTTGGACTAGTGAATGCTCTCGTAGCACGTACAAGACATGCCCTTTCGTTGTCCAGACCTCTTCGGTCATTCTCCCTAATGGTTCTTTCCAAATTAGGAAATCCTTTACTTGTGAATTCCGCAACGTAATTTATGCCATAATCTTCAAATGATGCTTCAAGATATACATTGGGGAAACTGACAGGAAGCTAGCAGATCGTTTCCGGGAACACCTCTCCGATGTTGACAAGAAGACATTTAAACCAGTCCCTCTCTGACCACAGAGGTAAAGATGATATATCTGTAACAGCATTGAAATCTTGCTCTGGCGATCATACTACGCGCCTCGCTTTGGAAAATCGCCTTATCCACAGCCTAGGCGTCCTAGTCCAGGTGGTATCAATATCCAGTATACCCTAATCTTAACAGTTTTACTCTTATTACATTTTAAATTTTAATTCTTTTTTTTTTTTCCATATTTCCGTTATTCCTATTATTATATTTTATATTAACAATATTACTTTTTTTTCCGACTAAGTTTTTTTAGGGATCGTTATTTTATTTTATTTCATTCATTCCACATCAAATTTTGTTTATACTTGATCGAGACGCCCCTTAGAGATCTGAATACTCTCTTCGTTGTTACTTTCGTGTAGTTCACTTCATGTTTGACAAAGGTTGCTGGCCGAAACGTTACTTGTGTTGTTTTGTGCACTTTTTTCTACTTCAAAGTTTGGTTAAACTGTTTAATCAAAATGTCACTTGCATTCCTTGTATTAGCTTGACTGCAGTCACCCTCATATTTTATTTGTGCGCCCAACAGAAAAAAAAAATCCCCAACCTTACCAAGGATTCGAACCAGTCTTGCGCATGATAGGCTTCCGTTCCTAATCGTTCAGCCAGTCGATGTTCATTATTGTTCACTATGGTGTAATATATATACCGGCAGAATCGGTGGTGTTGGACAATTTAGAGCGATGTTATCATCATCGTGTGCCCTGCCAACTGGCGTAGGCGCTCATACGTGTCCACAGATCACGATCCCTGGTTGCCTGGAACAGCTCTCGTGATGATATCCCTCTTGCCATCGTTTCAGCCCATTCAGCTTCGTCTCTCTTGGTCTGCTTCTACCCCTTTTTCCACTGTTCTTTCCAGTTGTCACGATGTTCTCCAATGTCTCACTTCTCATTGTGTGACCAAAGAACAGTGTTTGTCTCTTTCCTATTGTTTATCTAGAGATCAACTTTCATTAGCTTAGTTTAAGCAATCGTTGTTTGTTACTCTGGCC